CACAACTCTAGTATTGAACTCTTCTATTAAAATATAAATACCAGACTCACAGATCCAACTGTCTGCTGAGCAATTCCACTTGTATGCTTTATAGGTATCCTCTAAACTAAATACTATTTTTCAATCTTAAAAGCCTTCATAGCCTGTGTTTTAAAAAGGTACCCAGGATTTGCTTTAATTGGGAATGTTAGGGCATGCAGATGCAGGGGTGAAACTTTCCTCAACTGCCAATATGAGCCATTTCTTGTATGAAAAAAGGGATCAATCTGAAGACAGAGTCAAGAGCTAGTAGGAAAAATGGAGAATATTTTTTTAATTTTTTTAATTTTTTGTGTGTATATGTGTGTTGTGTCTGTGATGAAGTCTACTTTATCACTTTTTTCCTGTTTTGTGCTTTTTGTGTCCTAACTCAAGATCAAAAGAATTTTTTCTTCTAGAAGTTTTAGCTCACATTTTAGTCTATGATTCATTTTGAGTTAATTTTTGTACATGGTATGAGGTAAAGGTCAAGGTTCATGCTTTTGCTTATGGATGTCCAATCATCCCAGCACTGTCTGCTGTGTAGACTCTTCTTTCTCCATTGAATTACAGTGGCACCTTGGTCAAAAATCAATTGACCGTATATAGGTGAGTCTGTCTCTGTACTCTGTAGTCTATTCCATTTATTTACATTTTCATGCCAACATCACTCAATCTTGATTATTATGGCTTTATAGTAAGTCTTGGTATCAGATAGTGTGAATCTTCCAACTTTGTTCTCCTTAAATTACTGAGTCTTCTGTTTTATGATCATAGTATTTCTTTCCATTTATTTTATTTTTTGAGACAGAGTCTCACTCTCTTGCCCAGGCTAGAGTGTTATGGCGTCAGCCTAGCTCACAGCAACCTCAAACTCCTGTACTGAAGCGACCCTCCTGCCTCAGCCTCCCAAGTAGCTGGGACTACAGGTATGTGCCACCATGCCTGGCTAATTTTTTTTTTCTATATATATTTTTAGTTGGCTAATGAATTTCTTTCTATTTTTTTCTTTTTAGTAGAGAAGGGGTCTCACTCTTGCTCAGGCTGGTTTCAGACTCCTGACCTTGAGCCATCTGCTCGCCTCGGCCTTCCAGAGTGCTAGGATTACAAGCCTGAGCCACCTCGCCTGGCCACTTTCCAAAAAATGGAGAATCTTGATAAATACTTGGATCATGGGGCTTGTTCTTTTGGAAGCCACACACCATACTATAAAGAAGCTCAGGATAAAATACTAAATAATGAGGAAAAGTTTTTATACTCATAGATTTCTAGAAGCAGGAGGCACAGCATACCATACAGGGGCACACAGGGAGGCACCAGTGTGGGTCAGGAGGCAGAGGGAGTGAGGAAAAACATGGACAGAAGCCTTTACTGTGATTTCTGTGGTAAGGAATGAAGGAGCCCAGGTAAACTAACTTAGGATAGTTTAGTTTTAATCATTTCAGCAGACTCTTGGGTATAGTGGCTGTTCTTAGTTATCAGGTTCCTGTGCCTGGGATGATTAGGAAGGGGAATACTGACCTAGAGTGTGAGCCCTGTGAGAACCCAATAAGGAGGTGGTTGAGAGTATGGACTTTGGAGTGGCTGTTTGCGTGCGAAAGGAACAGTCACAGGTGAGTTGTAGCTACCTCTAGGAATTAGCTAGCACTAGCCGGGGCAGTCCCTTCAGTGTCAGCAAGGCCTCAACATGTCAAATCATCAAATATAGACTCTAGAAAATGTGATTATTACATCTTATAATCCTTTTTATTTCTGTAAGTCAGTAGTAATGACCCCTCTTTTATTCCTGATATTAGAGTAATCTTAGTCTTCCATTATATTTTTTCTTGGTAAGTCTAGGTAAAGATTTGTTGATTTTTTTTTTAATCTCGTTAAAGAATCAGCTTTTGGTTTATTGATCCTTTGTATTCTTTTTCTATTCTCTATTGTATTTATTTGTACTCTGATCTTTATTATTTCCTTCCTTCTGGGCTTAGTTTGCTCTTCTTTTTCTAGTTTCTGTGGTGGAATGTTAGGTTATGGATTTGAGATCTTTCTTCTTTGTTAACATAGGCATTCAGCAGTAAATTTCCCTCTAAACACTTCTTTCACTACATCTCATAAGTTTGTTTTCATTTTTGCCTATTTCAATGTATTTTCTAATTTTCCTTGTGATTTCTTCTTTGACTTAGTTATTTAGAAGTCTGTTGTTTGACTTCCACATATTTGTGCATTTCCCAAATTTCCTCGTTATTGATTTCTAATTTTATTCTAGTATGGTCAGAGAACATACTTCACATAATTTGTTTTACAAAACAAGTCTTGAGACTTGTTTTATGGCATAACATTTGTTATAACCTGGAGAATTTTTTATGTACACTTGAGAAGAATGTTTATTCTGCTGTTGTTGAAGTGTTCTATAAATGTCTTTCAGCTCTATTTGGTTTATAGTATTGCCCTTCTATTTCCTTTCTGACCTTTTGTTTAGTTGTTTTACCTGTTATTGAAAGTAGGGTATTAAAGCCTTCACTATTGTTAAATTGTCTATTTCTTCCTTTAGTTCTGTTTTTGCTTCATGTATTTTGAAACTCTGCTGTTAGCGTATGTATGTTTATAATTATTATATATTTTGGAATATTCGCTCTTTGAATATTATGAAATGTCCTTCTTTATCTCTAGTAAGAATTTTTGTCTTTAATCTATTTTGTCTGATATTAGTATAGCCATTTTAACTCTCTCTGGGTTACCAAGTTTATGGCATATTTTTTCCATCCTTTTACTTTGAATGTATTTATGTCTTTGAATCTAAAATGTGTCTATTGTGTGCAGCATATATGTGGGTCATATTTTTTGTTTTGGTCCATTATGCTCATCTCCATTTTTATTTTTATTTTATTTATTTATTTATTTTGAGACAGAGTCTCGCTTTGTTGCCCAGGCTAGAGTGAGTGCCATGGCGGCAGCCTAGCTCACAGCAACCTCAAACTCCTGGGCTCAAGCGATCCTGCTGCCTCAGCCTCCCGAGTATCTGGGACTACAGGCATGCACCACCAAGCCCGGCTAATTTTTTCTATATATATTAGTTGGCCAATTAATTTCTTTCTATTTATAGTAGAGACAGGGGTCTCGCTCTTGCTCAGGCTGGTTTCGAACTCCTGACCTTGAGCAATCTGCCCGCCTCGGCCTCCCAGAGAGCTAGGATTACAGGCATGAGCCACTGCGCCCAGCCTTCCCTTTAATTTTTTAGCGACTTTTTTTTTTTTTTAGCTCTTTGAACATATCTAAAATAGCTGATTTAAAGTCTTTGTCTACAAAATCCAACATCTGGGCTTTCTCAGGAACAGTTTTTATTGATTGGTCTTATTTGCTTTCTTTATACATCTCATAATTTTTGGTTGAAAATTGGACATTTCAAACAATGTGACAACTCTCAAAGTCAGATTCTTCCCCTCCTCAGGGTTTGTTGTTGCTGCTTATTGTAATAGTTGCTGTTTAGTGACTTTTTTGAACTAATTTTGTAAAGGTTGTATCTTCCTTGTGTGTGACTATTGAAGTCTCTACTTGATTAGCTTAGTGGTCAGCCAACAATTGGATGGAGATTTCCTTAAACACCTGGAACCAATATGTCTCCTCATCTTTGCTGAGGAGCTCTGTTTACATTTTAGGGCATGCCTTCAACATTCATTAGGCAACTTGCAACTCTGCATAGCTTTTACTGCCTGCTCACACAGAGACTTAGTGTTAACTAATGGTGAGTGGACATCTCATTCTTTAGCTTTTCCTTTTGTGATTTTTCGTTATTCTATTGTTTGCCTCAACTGTTAATCATTGCCTCAGCCAATCATGAAGTTAAAACATTGACAAACATCCCTCCCACCCTATCCTTCCTAAAAAGTAGAAACCTTTAGGACTGGGCTAATTCCAATGAGATTGAATAAAGAGAAACCTTTTCAGGGGTCCTCCAGGGAATCACTAGATAGATCAAATAATGATTTTTCTTTGGGAATGAGGCTTTGAAAGACCTACAGTCCTGTCTGCTCCCTCTGGTACGTTGGGAATGTGGGCTGCCATGGAGCTGGAGAGAGGGAGATAGGATTAGGGTAAATAAAATGCCACAAAGATTGCTGTTCTCACTGAGATTCAGCTGTTTTTCTTGACTAAATGTTAAGATGGGTTGATGCAAGCCTTTGGTTAATTCCAGAGCTCTGAAAAAGTTGATTTTGATAATTTCTGCCAGTTTTTACTGCTTATACAGAAGGGCAAACTTTCTGGGGTCCTTAATCCACCATTTTCACTGGCATCATCCTTTCTTTTTAAGAAATGTTATTTTATTGCAAAAGAACCACAACTGAAATTAAAAATCAAAATTTTAAATTCAAAATTAATATTTTACACAATCAATTAAAATCACAATTAAAATCCAGGAGAACAATCCCTTGTCCCATTTCCTAATTAAATGAATTCATTTTCACTTGCCCATGTTACTATCTAGTCTTCATCCATATACTTAGTAATTTCTCACATTTTTGTAGTAATAGTTTTGTAGTTAGAATTTTAATTCATTTTAAGTTAATGTTATACCATAAGTATTCCCTCCCCCTCGTCCCCCATCTTTCCTCTCCTCATCTTCCCGTTTCCACTTCCCTGGTACCTCCTACGTCCCGCTCCCTTCCACCAGTGTGGTGTGTGTCCTTCCTCATCTTTCCCCATGCTCATCAAAAAATATCCTGCCCCTCACCCCCACAAATAAGGTTCTCTTTTTTTTGTGTGTGAAAAAATTAGCGCTCTTTTTTCACTTAACACCACATCGTGGCTGTCCTTGTAGGTCAACACGCCGATTTAATGCGTGCTTGTTAAAGCCATATAATAATCTGCATAAACCGTACCCCCACCCATAATACATCTCTACGTAACTTATTTACTGTTCCTTTTATTTCTGGAATATTCTCAGAAGAAAGATTGCTGGGTCAAAGGTCATACGCGGTTTAAATCTTTCATAGCTATTTCCGGGTTACTTTCCCAAAGGGGTCTACCAATTCACATTTCCATCATCAACGAGGGAGTCCTTTGCTCTGAGGGTCTTTAAAAATATTTGTTCAATCTTTATTTAGGGAGGGGCTGAGAGAAACGGATTTGCTTTTTAAAAGGGCATACGCTTTTACGTTTAAGGAATTCAGGACATGCACTGAAGCTGAAGTAACATTTAAGCACGACGAGCAATTTGGAACGATCGTTTTTTTTTTTTCCCCCCCAGTATGTTCCGAGGGGTGGGAGCCACATCCGCTGCCCAGGTTTCTGTGAGGCTTCCCTGAAGCCCCGGCGGCGTGTGAGCCCTTTAACGGGCGGCGTCCCAGCCTGCCCCGCCAACGGGCCGGCCCGCTCCGTCTGGGCTCTGGCGGAGGGCGCTACTTTGAAAGCTCGGGCTGCCCCGACGTGACCGAGGGAGCTCCGTCCGTCTCCGCCGCCGCCCTCCGGCTGAAGACGCTGCCCCGAAGGAAGCGGCCCCAACCCCCTCAGACGCCCAGGGAAGCCCTTTCTGGGCCTACGGAGGAGCCCCCGCGGCGCCGCCACAGCCGCGACCCGCAGCGTCCTCCAGAGCGCCCGAGCCCCCGGCGGCCGCGCAGCTGGGGCCCCTGAGGCGGGAGGCGCCGGCGGTTCAGCTGCGGCCGTGGGCGTGGCGAGGCCGCACAGGTTCTGTTTTTCCCGGCCCGGGTCGCTTTCGGTTTCGTTTCCCGCCGGCGTCTCCACCCCGCGGGAGCAGAGCGCCGGCCCGTGTCCGCCGCCCCCGGCGTCGCGCCAGCCCGCGGTTCGACGGGCGCAGGCCTCGGCAGCGCGCCCCTGCCGCCTGGCCATGGCCCAGGCCACCGTAGTCGGCGAGGTGACCCAGGTGCTGTGCGCGGCCGGGGGCGCCTTGGAGGTGCCGGAGCTGCGGCGTCGCTTGTGGGCGGACATGGGCCCCGACGCGCTGGAGCGGCTGCTGCGGGAGCGCGGGCGCTTCGTGGTGGTGCGGCGGGCGGACGCGGGCGGCGCGGCGGCGGCCCCCGAGCGCTTGGTGCTGGCCGCCTCGTCGCTGCGCCTGTGCCGCGCGCACCAGGGCCCCAAGCCAGGCTGTGTGGGGCTCTGCGCGCAGCTGCACCTCTGCAAGTTCATGATCTACGGAGCCTGCAAATTCCTGAGGGCCGGGTAAGGCGCCGCGCCAGGCCGGGCGGGGGGCGGGGGCGGAGGGGCGGCGGGGCGGCGTGCTGGGGACCCGGGCCTAACCCCCCTCCGGCCCGTTTGGGACCCTTATTAAAGTCTGAGAAGACATTAAGTGCCCTTCCCTGGCCTCATCCCCTTCATTTACTTCAGCGAACACTTATTGAGCACCTACTGAGTACCTAGCGCTGTACCAGGGACTTGGATGCAAATGGTGTTTTCTAGCTAGATTCCTGAGGGCAGTCTGAGGAGACAGAGCCATAGACAAACGCGGGTACCGGGTGGCACACGCTGGCTGTGGCAATATTGGGGGAGCGGGAGGCGGTGGCCTGGGAGCTCCACGACCCTGCGGGTCTCCCGAGTTAGCTTTGAAGGCCAGACAGTGAGGGCTTTCTCTGCCCAGCAGCCCGAAGGGATCTTTTCAACCTCACTCAACGTTACTTACCTGCCCACAAGACAGAAAATGCAGGCTCCCTGCCGTCACCCACACGGACCTTAGGGCGCTGGTCCGAGCCCTCCCTCCATTCACAGCCCCTGCCGGTGCCCTCTGTTCTTGGAACACCGCCAGCTTTTGCTTCTGTGGTGGCCTCTCTGGAATGCCCTTCTTGGTTTGTTTGCTCATTAATCCTTCACGCCTCGACTTCAAAAGCGCTTTTTCTCCTCTTATTCTTCCTCACGCGCCACACGGAGCTCTTTATTTTCCTTCCATCTCCCAACAGAATGTCCCCTCCCTGAGGACAGGGCCCCAGCTGTGTGGGCCCTGGCTGGCTGTCTCCCCAGCGCTTAGCACCCATGGTCTGCGCGTAGCAGGTGGTCAGTGAGGTTTGTGGTAGGGATTGCTGAGGTTTATGCTGAAGAGTCTGGACCTCACCCTGAAGGTGATGGAGCCCTGCAAAGGGCAGGAGAGAGCAACCATCAGGTTTGCATCTTAGGAGGAGATCTTAGGTAGTGGTGTGGATGCTGGTTTAGAGGAGGATGTCATGAGGAACGCTCAGATGCTATTCCAGTTAGTTTCCTAGGAGAATTAGTTCTTTCCTTATCTCCCCACCTCTTTTCTTTCCTCCTTTCTCCGCCCCCCCCTCCTTTTTTCTTTCTTTTGTACTGTTAGTAGACATTATTTCTTGCACTTGTCAGGTCCAACAGGGAGCATGGGGTAGGGGCCTAATCCCTGCAGTGATTCCGGGATCCAGGCTGACTGACCCATGTTCTGCTCTCCTCAGCTCATGGCTTTTGAGGCCATTGTTGTAGGTATCAAATTCCACGGGGCAGGAGGAAAAGATGGACAGTAATGGATTGCATGCAAGGTTTCTAGGGGCCAAGTCTAGAAGTGGTGGACATCCTTCCACCTACATTCCATTGACCAGAATCTGTCTCATGACCCTACCTAGATGTGAGGGGACTGGGAAATGTAGTCTCTAGGAAGCAGCTATTCAGAAATATCTAGATTAGAAATTTCCAAGAGCTATGTGTGAGAAATTTAGGAGAGTTAGGGCATTGGAGACAGTGTGGTGGGAAGATAGGAGAGAGGTGATGACTCTTGGGTTTTGGCGCCTACTATGGCCTGAGTGTTGTTTACTGAGGGAGCAGGAGAGGATTTTCATTGTGAAGCATGCCCAGGAAGCAGCTTTCCAGGTGTGATGCTCAGGAGGAAGGCTGGTGCCCTAGGGTGCTGGTCTGGGAAATGTTGGGTGGTGTATGCCCTGGCCATAGCTCCAGGAGTGGATCAGTTCTCAGGTGGAGTCTGAGAGGCCTGAAAAGAGAGTGAGGATAGAACTCTGGGGAAATCAGCCCCTCAGGCATGAGGTATTTCAGGGGAGAACAAGGAAGAAGGCACATGGTAAATAAGTGGTGGCTGGATTGACCCAATGATGGAGATAACTAGTGGATCTTTTTAATGTCTGTATTTGGTAAAATAAAGAGGACAGTCCTATTAATGCTAGTTTCCAAAATTTGGGATCAGATTTTACTTGTCTGTGAACTCTGGACATCTGATATTTCCTGGCTTAGATGACTCTTGAGTTTTCTTCTTCATTCTTCATTTTTCTCTTTTCCTTGTGCTTTACACAGGTGAGTTTCTTGAACCTTCCTTCTCTGACTCACCTGAGGGAGTGGGTATGGTTGGCCGCACTTTCTGTGCTTCCCCTGTGACTCTACTTGTCTCTTGAACCATAGGGTTGGTTCTTTTAGAACTAGGTAATCAGTCTTGCAGCAGAGCTGGTGAGGAGTTCGGGGTCCCTGACTCCCAGTCCTGTGCTCAGGAGGCAGTGAGCACGATGGTCAGAGCATAGTCCTGAGCCAACCCACCTTGTTTCAACCTAGGCTCTCTGCTTCTTGCTATCTGAGGACCTTGGGCAAATGACTTTACATTTGAGCCTCAGTGTTGTCATCTGCAAAATGGGGATGATATTACTCACTTCACAGGTTCGTTGAAGTCTGAATAAATTAACTCATAAAACATTTAGGCAATCCCTTGTACATGGCAAATGCTCAATAAATGTTGTCATTGTCATCATCAATCATCATCTTTATAATTATTAGTTATATATATTTGGCTCTGGCAGCACCAGATTATTTGCCCCTCTGCCTAGAATGTTATTCCTTTCTCTCCTTGCCTGGTTCCTCCACACCCTTTAAGTATTTGGCCCAGGCATTATACTTTCCAGCACCCTCCCCTGATTTCTTCCCCATTTCTTTCCCCAGCCCAGACTGGTTCAGGTGCCTTTCCTATCTGTTCTGACAAGAGCTGACCTTGCATTTTTGACTCCATGTTAGCGTCATCTCTATGTCACCTCCACTAGATGAGAGAAAGAGCAGTCAAGGAAGGGCTTCAAGGTTTTTGCTCTGTGCAGTAGAAGAGGGAAGTTGCCTTTTACTAAGATGGGGAGACTGTGGGAGGCGCAGGTCTAAGGGAGGATCAGGGGTTTGGTGTTCTCTTGATATGCATATTATAACCATGGTATATGAGATATGATGGTGTCTGAGTCAAGCAAATGGTATTTGCCTGACGTTTCCGGGTTCTTGTGACCCAAGTAGTCATTTGAAGGTTTGTCTTTGGGTCAGCAGGGCATGGTGCCAGTGCCTGGCTCATAGTTGTTGCTTACCAGATGCTCGTGGATTGAAAGAATAGAGGAAGGGAGCAGAAAAGAGGGCGGGGTGGGGGGTGTGTATGTGTATGTATGCCCCTATAACCAACCATAAGACACCATGCTTGTTTATTTAGCACATGGTTAAATATTTGCTAACCTATGCCATAACTCCTTTTTGGATGATGGCCTTGTCGTTCTCATCAAATGCCTGCTGAGAGGTGCTGTCCTGGGCCCTAGACCTTGCAAGACCCCATCTCCTCCTTGGTAAATAAGCATTACATTTTTCTGTTGTTGCATAGACATGCTGGTTTTTCTCTGGTGCTTGTAAACAATATCAGGAAGTGTTCCTTAAAAATTGTCACGAAGACTGATTTTTATCAGCTATTAAGTTTGCCAGGGCTACCATAACATGGTACCAAAGACTGGATGGCTTAAATAACGGAAACCGATTGTCTCATAGTTCTGGAGGCTAGAAGTCCAAGGTGTTGGCAGGCTTGTTTTTTCCTGAGGCCTCTCTCCTTGCCTTATAGATGTCCACCTACCTTCTTTCTATGTACTTACATGATCTTTCCTCTGTAAGTATCTGTGTCCTAATCTCTTCTTCTAAGGACAGCAGTCATGTTGGATTGGGGCCTACCCTAATGACTTCATTTTAATTTATCTCTTTAAAGACCATATCTCTAAATATAGTCACATCCTGAGGTTTTGGGAGTTAGGACTCCAACATAGGAATTTTGGGGAGACACAATTCAGCCCATAACACCAGCTCTGCTTCTTTTTAGGAAGAACTGTAGAAATAGTCACAGCTTGACGACTGATCACAACCTGAGTGTGCTAAGAACTCATGGCGTTGACCACCTCAACTATAGTGAGCTGTGCCAGCTCTTGTTTCAGAATGACCCCTGGCTTTTGCCAGAAGTAAGTGCCAGGGAAAGTCTGGGTTCTGCAGCCCTCTGGGGCATTCCTGCATCTTGGGAAGTGTAATGCTTGTGAATTGAGTGGGTGAGCCCCTGGTGGTCTCTGGCCTTGTTCCCACCTCCAGGAATTTGGAGTGTAGAAAGAAGAGCCATTGATTGAAGTTCATGTCCCAGCTTTGCCAACAATGCAGTTCAACAAACATTGTATATGCCAGATGGTATAGAGAGCTGTGTGACTGGGACTGGCTGTGTAACTTCTTTGAGCCTCCTTGTGCTCCCTTGGGAAATGAAAGGTGGTATTTGGTCTTCTCCAAGATACCTTAACCCCTCAGAACCTCTTTGACTCTGAATTGTAGAAAAGAGAGTTGGGAGTAACTGGGTCCTTGGAAGGGGAGAGCTGGTGAGTCCATGGGGAAAGACTGTAGGTATATTATAGCAATCTGTGCCATTCGATTCACGTTAAAACACTGTCTCATATGAAGGGAGCAGATCTGGTCACTTTGAAGTGCTTTGGATTCTCCCAATGGAGGGTTGTGTTCTGAGCAATCTACTTTCTACCCAGTTCCCATTTTAGCCAAGGGCATGTGTTAGCAGCCATCATCTAGAGTGAGGGATGATCTCATAGCTTTGTTCCATGTGGATGAAAGAATCACAGCTTTGGCTATGAGGGCCTCTTCTAATCAGTGGGGAGGTGGTACCATGTGAGACCTTCCTGAACTGATGTCTTTTTTTCTTCTCTGTCAACAGATCTGCCAACATTACAACAAAGGAGATGGACCCCACGGCTCTTGTTCCTTTCAAAAGCAATGTATCAAACTCCATATCTGCCAGTATTTTTTACAGGGGGAATGCAAGTTTGGAACTAGCTGTAAGAGATCCCATGATTTCTCTAATTCAGAGAATCTAGAAAAATTGGAGAAGTTGGGCATGAGCTCAGACTTGGTGAGCAGGCTGCCTTCCATTTATAGAAATGCACATGACATCAAGAATAAGAGCTCCACCCCCAGCAGAGTGCCCCCTCCTCCTTCTCCAGGTCCACAGGGGACTTCTGGTAAGGCTGATGGAAAATGAGGTATGCTTTGGGCTGGGGGTTTCTGGATCCCATTTGGCCAGTAAATAGAATGTGTGACTTTGGGCAACAGCTGTGCTGCTTTTGCAAGCACAGAGGATCACAGAGTTGGTGATCCTTTCCTAGCTTAGGGCCTAGGGGAGTTTGAGAATAAGTTGAAATCACAGACCTGATCAAACAAACTGTTCTAGACAAATGGGAATTGGTGTTGATGGTGATTGAATTCCAGATGGGCCTGATCAGCACTGAAATGAGTGACTTGGCCCATCCCCCTGTGCAGTTGCCCCATCACCCTCAGAGAGGTTGCCTTTGCATGAGGCACCCCGAAGTTAGCAATGCCATGCCGCACAAACTCTAGGGGCATCGTTTTTATTTTATTCTGTTTTGATTTTAAAAAATGAGTGAAAGAAATATATCTTAAGTTTACACATCTTCTTGACATGAATAAATGGAATGTTTTGAGTCATTGTAAATTTTGTCTGCTTTTGTTCTCTGCTCATCTCCAGCACCTAGACAGTGCCTGGCCCACAGTGGACACTCAGATATTTGTTGAATGAATGTGCTAGGAATCTTACTTTTTTTTAAGGGATGTCAGGCTTAGTGACAGGCAAATGGGGGAATTTTGAGCAGAGATTTCTATTTAATAGGCATTTCTTGAGTATCTGTTGTCTGGCAGATAAATAACGTGGTCTCTCAGGGAGATTATGATACACCGATGTCCTTTGGATTTCACAAGGCCCTTGGCTGGCTATCGTGGCCCCTCAGAGTGCAGAATCAAACCTGGTCATTTAGCTGTAGTGGGAACTATGATTTTAATAGCTTCCTAAAATGACAGGTGTGTGCTGGGACTACCTACAAACAAACTCACCACTGTAATCTTACCTGGCTTTTATATTTAAAGATTGTTCTCACCATACCATGGTTCTCACCATGTTTTTTCTTTACATTCTCAATTATTTTTTGTTAATTTCTTTCAACTGTAGGAAGCCTAGAAGTAGACAGGTTTTGTTTAAATAGATCTTTAAGAGTGTCAGTTGGTTTATGGCTTTATTAGAAACTGAGGGGATGATCCACTGTTCAGTGATGTCAGGTCCAAAGTGCAGTCACCTGCTCTCAGGTGGAGAGGGAGACAGCCTTCAGAGTTCCACAGGCCTGGGTTTTGAGGCCCGGTGTGTGAAGTATCTCAGGGACTTATACAAAGAAAAGGGAAGATGAATAACAGAATGACAGGGACACTCAATGGGGAGAGATTATGAATGAGTTTTATGTGCTCATTGGGGATAGGTGGATAGCGACAGATGTCACAGGTAAAAGACTTATTAGAATGTTACTCTAAAGGGAAACTTGGGCCAGCCTGGCTCATGCCTGTAATCCTAGCACACTGGGAGGCTGAGGTGGGCAGATCGTTTGAAGTCAGGAGTTTGAGACCTGCCTGAGCAAAAGTGAGACCCCATTGGTACTAGAAATAGAAAAAGAAATTCGCTGGGCGTGGTGGTACGGTAGTCCCAGCTACTTGGGAGGCTGAGGCAGGAGATTCTCTTGAGCCTGGGAGTTTGAGGTTGCTGTGAGCTAGGATGATGCCATGGCACTCTAGCCCAGGCAGCAGAGTGAGACTCTGTCTCAAACAAGAGAGGAAAACTTGGCACTTACATGCCCATTTTATGTTGGCATCCTTATGATTACCCTAAAAGTAATTAAGGAGATTTTATTTTGAGATGTAGACTTTTGATTTATTGTCCTCCTCTTCTTGGTGTTTGTACCCAATTCTTTTTCTTTCTTTCTTCCTTTTTTTTTTTTTTTTTCTTTTCTTAGAGACAGGGTCTTGCTCTCTTGCCTACCAGGCTGGAGTGCAATGAAACCATCATAGCTCAATGCATCCTCAAACTCCTGGGCTCAAGCAATCCTCCCACATCAGCCTCCTGAGTAGCTAGGACTAAAGGTCTTTACCACCTGCCAGGCTAATTTTGAAAAATTTGTTTATAGAGATGGGGTCTTGAACTTCTGGTCTCAAGCGATCCTCCCACCTTGGCCTTCCAAAATGCTGGGATTATAGGTGTGAGTCACTGCACCTGGCCAGTACACAATTCTGATAGTTCATTAACAAATATTTGCTCTATATAAGCCTAGTTTATGAAAAGTAGCCCTCTGTTTGCCCTTTGGGGTCATCACCACCTTAAGAATCCTAAGCTGCCTCAGTATGTAGGACAGTGGCTTTCCCCTTATTAAAAAAAGTGTCCCAGGCTCCATCCTGGAGGTTGATATTCAGTCAGTCTGAGGTGGTGTTGGGCACTTGTATTTTTAAATCAGTTTCCTATTGAATTGCGTGGACAGCCAAAGTTGAGAAAATAGCCCCTCCATGGCATCCTGGATTTGGCAAGCAGCCATGTGGCCTGGGGCTCCTAGCTCATCCCTAAAAACTGGAAAGCCCACCTGTGTGGGAACACCTTCACCCCTAACACAATAGGGCTTTGTGAGCTTGCTTTGCCTACTTTTGTCTCATGCTGAGAGAGGAATGAATCCTCTTTACTCTCCTTTGTACCTTGAACTACTCTAATCCCCATATCAGAAGCTGACACATCTCTGTTGTTTCTTTGCAGAAAGAAAAAACAGTTCAGGTTCTATGTCCCCAAATACTCTTAGCCAGGAGGAGAGTGATCAGATCTGCTTGTATCATATCCGGAAAAGTTGCAGTTTTCAAGGTAAGTTGGAGGAGGCCCCTTCATCCCACTGTGGGAAGGGTAACTGCTTGTTGTTCCTAGAGCTCTGCTCTGAGGTCACCCCCAACCCCCACCCAGAGAGGATCAGGGCCTGGCACTTTGGTCAAACCAGTTCTGAAGCTACTTTGCTGAGGAGTTGAGGATAGTAGCAATTCTTTGAATTTCTAAAAATCAAACTGTGGGTCATTTTGGGGAACATACCTGTCTGGTTCATGTAACAAATGGGTGTCAAGTGTTGACCCTTGGTTAGCTGAGCATGTAGTCACAGACCTGTATGGAACAGATCTAGTGGGAACAAAGATAAGGTGATAATAGGCTTAGAAATGCTTTCGAAACTGGGAAAGACCTCACAGAGGAGGAAACACTTGTGTTCTTGCAGGATAAGTAATTATTTAAGATGTGGGTTTCTTCTGTATTGGTCTGGTGAACTCCATAGTCCCTCTTTTATCAGAAGTAGCAATTCTTGTGTGTATATATTTTCACTAAACCTTTGTTTTCTTCTTAAATGCTATCCTGGGCTTTGACTGGAGAAAGATTCGTTCTCAAATTCGATGACTCCCCTTAAAAAACCACCACCAAAACTTTCAGTCCTTAAACATTACTCAAGGAATTCATGAATACTCTTACTTTGTAAAAGAGTCCAATAATACAGAGTAAAGCATGAAGTCCTTCTTTATCCTTTCCCAAAAGTAAACACTTGCTGTGTGGTTGTGATATTTGTTTTGCATATTTTTAAACAGATAGGAACATGTGACAATGTGTATTCAGCCTGCATCTTTTATTTAACAATGTGTCTTGGAGATTTTTTTCCATGCCAAGATGTATAAATCCACATCATTTTTAAAACTACTATGTAGTATTTGATTATAGTGATGTTCCATTGAGCATCCAAGTGCATATGTATGAGATTTCCATAGATAGATTCCTGGAAATGGACTGCTAGGTCAAAGAATGTGTGTGTTATATATATTTAAAATCAATGTTATTAGGTATAATTTACACATGATAAAATGCACCCATTTAAGATGTATAATTCTGAGTTTTTATGAGTGTACATGCCCATGTCACCATCGCTACAATCAAAATACAGTACAGTTCCCTCCCTCCACAAAAGTTCCTTTATCTCTCTTTATAGTTAATCCTCCCCCACTAATTTGTCAGTGCTAGGAAATCCCTGATCTACAGTGACTTTTTGTCACTGTAGATTAGGTTTGTCTTTTCTAGAATTTCCTCATACATGGAATCATACAGTATGTATTCTTCTGTGCGTGGCTTTTCTCAGCATGTTTTTGAGATTCATGATTGGCATATCAATAGTTTGTTCCTTTTTATTGCTGAGTATTCCATTGCATGGATTGACTGCAATTTGTCTACCCATTCATATGATGATGAACATTTGGGTTGTTTCCAGTTTTTGGCTTTTACAAATAAAACTTCTTTAAATATTCATGCACTGGTTTTCATGTCAATATGTTTCCATTTCTCTTGGGTAAAGACCTAGATGTGGAGTTATTCAGTTAATGTGATATATGCTTGAGGTTATTGGAAACTGCCAAATTGTCTTCCAAAATGGATATAATATTTTACATTCCCACCAGTAATGTATGAGAGTTCCAGTTGCTCTACATCCTTCCGAACATTTAGTATCATCTTTCAAATTTTAGCCATTCTAATAAGGGAATAGTGTTGTCTCATTGTGGTTTTAATTTGCATTTCTCTGATGATTAATGATGTTAACATTTATTTTCATGTGTTTATTAGGCATGTATATATTTTCTGTGAAGTATGTGTTCACATTTTATGCCCATTTTTTATATAACCTACACACATGAGGGGTCTTCAGAAAGTTCGTGGAAAATGCGTATTATGAAAAAACTTTGCATGGAGTTCAAAAATTTTTTGCACCAAAATAAGCTCATCCTAACTTATTATAATATGTCTGAACATGATAGAGTTTGCGGCACTAAGAAGGATAATACATCAGTTTGAAAAGAGCTTCTATCAGAGCAACAGGAATTCTGACATTGAAGCAAAAATAAACATCAAATTTATAGTGAAGCTTGGGTGGAAGAATGGTGAAATCATTGATGCTTTACAAAAAGTTTATGGAGGCAGTGCCTCCTGAAAATCAGAAGTTTACAAATGAGTAATTTGTTTTATAAAAGGATGAGATGATGTTGAAGATGAAGTCCACAGTGGTAGGCCATCCATATCAATTTTTGAGAAAAAATTAATCTTGTTCATACCCTAATTTAAGATTAACAGCACAACCAGCCAACATTGTAGACATCTCAATTGTTCAACTTACACAATTCTGACTGAAAAATTAACTTCTCACTCAGTGGGTGCCACTTTATGGGTGCCAAAACCATTGCACCCAGATCAGCTGCAGATAAGAGCAGAGTTTGAATGAAAATTTTAAACAAGTGCCATCAAGATCTTGAAGTATTTCTTTGAAGAATTATAATAGGAGATGAAACTTGGCTTTACCAGTATGATCCTAGAGACAAAGCACAATCAAAGCAGTCGTTACTGTGAGATGGGAGTGGTCCAGTCAAACCAAAAGCGAACCAGTCAAAAGCTAAGGTTGTGGGAACAATTTTGTGGGATGCTTAAGGCATTTTGCTTGTTGTATGGAGGGCCAAAGTGTTTTGAGGAAGTTGGTCAAAGTTTTAGCATAAAAATGCCCAGGAAAGCTTCAATAGAGAGTCCTTCACCATGACAGTGATCTTCATTCCTCTCATCAAATAAGGGTAATTTTGTAAGAGTTTCCTTAGGAAATCATTAGGTATCTACCATGCAGTCCTGATCTGGTTCCTTCTGATTTCTTTTTGATTCCTAATCTTAAAAAAAATCTTCAAAGGGCACTCATTTTTGTTCAGTTCATAATGTAAAAAAGATTGCATTGACACAAGGTTAAATTCCCAGGATCATCAGTTCTTTAGGGATGGACTGAACAGGTGGTATCATCACTTAAAAAAGTGTCTTGAATTTTACAGAGCTTATGTTGAGAAATAAAGTTTACATTTTTAATTTTTATCTTTTAATTCCATTTTTCCACAAACTTATGAAGTCCCCTCATATGTGTATTAGCACAGAGTTGTGTAGCCATCACAGTCAATATGAGAATATTTTCATCAATGCCAAAGTAACTCCATGCCCATTAGCAGTCATTCCCCATTCTTCCTCCCCCACCGGCTCCTGGCAAGGGCAGATTTAGGTTCTGTCGCTTTGGCATGGATATTTCCTATAAATGGCATCATATGATATTGGTCTTTTGTGACCATTTTTCCCATTTTTATTTGGTTTTTTTAGCTCTTGTTACTGAGTTGTAAGAATTTTGTATATTATTTATATTCAAAATACATTCTCCCAGTCTCTTTCATGTTCATTTTCTTTATGGTGTCTTTTGAAGAAGAAATGTTTCAATATTGATGCCCAGTTTAATATTTTTTCTTTTGTGATTTGTGTTTTTTGTAGCCTAAAAATGTTTGCCTATTCTAAGCCCACAGAATGTTTTCTCCTGTGGTTTTTTACTAGAAGTTTTGTAGGTTTAGCTTTTAGGTTTAGGTCTAGCTGTTCATGCTTGTTCTCATAACTCCGATTGTTCCTTCCTGAGGCATTGCTGCTTCTGTGTGAATTTGCTGCCTCTCTTTGCATTATTTTCCCTCATCTTTTGGGTTCTTGGTTGTCTGTCAGGTTGGTGCTTGAGAATCCCATGTGCCTGTTTGGTTAATTCCAGGAGACTGATTGTGATTCCAGGCCTGTGTTTCAGTGATGATTGGAAGAGGCAGTATGCCCTGCCTGGTGTGTAACCTAGGACTGGGGTGGGTGTGTTGGCAGCTGTGTTACCTGCTTTTGTCTCTCTCCAGCCCTTATATCCACACTTACAAGTTCAGGGGAAAAGCATGTAGCAAGGTTGCTCCATTGTTACTGAGATTCTGCTGGTGGGTAAATAAAAAAAGAAAGAAAGATGTAATTGTAAAAGAAAATAATTTAAAAAAAAAAAAGTAAAAAAAAAAAAGGTTGCTCCACATAAGCAAGTCAGAGCGAAGGGGGTGCCTGTGTCACTGGGTCCTGTTCTCATTGTGGTTGGCCTCGCTATCTTTCCTGTTCCTCATTTCATCTGAGTCTGAATCTGTGACACCCCCAGATCTTTTCTACTTCTGTGATTTTGCCTGCATTTTTCCTCTTTTATATTGTTTGATTCTATTTCATAGTTTTAGGAATTCTTGAATAATTCTGGTCTTTTGATGGTGTTTTTTATTGTTTTCCAGTGCTTGTGAATTTATTCTTCTCTTTAGTGTGTCATTTCAAGGAATGTAGGGAGAAATGGGGAGTTGGATGTGGTGCTTTGCCTGCCAAATTGATTTGATTTCTTTGACTCACCTTCTAGAAAGCCTAGACTCTGGAATGCCATATTGAGGTAAGGAACATTAGAAGGAGAAAAAGGATATTGAGAAAGGGGACAGGAAGACCAGGGAAGATGAGCACAGAGGATGGGCCTCATGTCTCTTCCACTGTGCTTGGGACTTAGCTCTGGCCAGATACTGTGGCTGCAATGGCCTGCATAGTGCCTCCTTTCCTGAGTGCCTTCCAGCTATGAATGATGGTGTGACTTCTAAGAATCAAAGCCTCAGGCCTGCTGTTTGACCACAGTGCCTTCCCCTGGCTCCTGTATCCTGCCTGAGGAAGCATCAGTCTTGAGGGCCATGGGGCCGGGGGGGTGCACCTTCCCCAGGGGATTCCTTCTTGCTGGGAGAGCCTTTCTTTAGGCCGTGCCTATGCCTTTACCTGTGCCCAGGGTTTATAGATGCAGCATCCTCAATACTGGGATGTCCTGGGATGGCCTTTTCTGCTTTCATCCTTGATCATTTTCCTTCAGGGAGGGAACAGGAACTCTTATTAGTTGTGACCTTGGACCACAGCTGTTGTCTTCTCTATACTGGCCCAGCCCTCATTATCTGTTGTACACACACCTGGTTGAGAGTCCAAGAGGTTCCTTGGCCTGCTGAGCTGTTCATGTTCAAACTTGACAACAGGAGATCTTAAGTCTCAGTGTGGCTATGTACAGCCTTGTTGGAACTTAGAGGAGATTTCCTCACTTAGATATGATCATCTTGTTCCCTGAGCCTTCTCAGCCTGGCTCTCATCTGTCCTGTCTTCCTGGCCCCAGGCCTGGTCTTTTACAAGCTTGGGCAGCCTCCCCACCCTCCTTCATGGCACTCCCTCCACCATGGTGCCCTTTTGTAGAGTCTGGGAGAGAAGTGGTATTGAGTTGCGCTTGAAAGAGTGCGTATGATTTTAGAGACTTTCACTTTTTTTCAAGTCTCAAATTAGCCAAGCTTTATTATTTTTTTGAAATATGCATGGAAAATGTACAAAGGACAGTAAGAAATGTCTACTTCACACCTGTTTTCCCTAGCACCCATATCTCCTCCAAGAGATCGTCACGATTATACGTTCCTTGAGTATCCTCTTGTGAAGACTTTATCCATGTACAAGTGCATGTGTCCATTTGGTTTCATTCTTCTGTAGGCACAGTTAGCACAGTTTTGTTCCTTTTTTCAGTGAACTAGATGGTTGATTTTTTGTAAAATATAATCTTGTGATTCAAAATTCAAAACATGCCAAAGTGACAGAAGTCTTTCCTCATAACTTTGTGCCAGCCATCCAGTTCCCTTCAGCAAGAAATAATATGTGTATTTATGTGTACTTAATCAATATATCTCTAGTCTTTTTTTTTTTTTTTCTATATTGACTCAAATAGGGGCATTCTTAACCTTGGTCTTTATCTTTCTACCTAATAGCATATATCTTGGAGGTAGCTGCATGTCAGAGTGCAAAGGGCTTCCTACTGTTTTTGTCTCCTTTTTCCCTGTCCTCTCCCAACATTCCTCTGTATAGTTCCTCTGTATGTAGCAGAACCTCACAAATGCTATTGAAAGGTAGAGGAGGGTGTGGGTGGCATTCCAGGTGGTAGCCAGCATAAGCAAAGGTGAGGCAGGCAGCAAGTGCTTGGAGTGATGAGGAAAGTGAGGACCTGGCTGCCCAGGAGGAATATGGGGAAGGTATAGGGGAACAGCTGGCTAGAAGCCATAGGTCTGGGTCATTGTGTGCGTGTCAGCGGTGGCACAGCAGTGTATATGAAGACCTCCAGGGGGATGGGGGCATGTCAAGGATGGGGTGAGTAAGTTGGCAGCCAGAAGAGATCCAGCTGGGCCAGAACTATGTTGCTGCACCTTTGGTTGATTGTGTTGGGGTTGGAATGCATTTCTGGTAGAGATGAATCTGGGTCCATCTTAAGTGTGATCTCTGACCATCCGCTTGCCACATATAGAGCTACATTGAGCAGTCAGATTGTCTACTGCAGGGATGGTGCCTTTTACCTTCTTATGATCAGCTTCTTTACTGTTATAAAGTGAAATTCATAGATATAACCCACCAACATACATATTTTAAAAAATCAATGTAAGGTCCTGTTAAATGAGACAAAAGAAAAATGTATGTCTCAGTTTGTTTTCTGTTGCTTACAGCAGAATACCTAAAACTAGATAATTTGTAAAGAAAATGGGCCGGGCGCGGTGGCTCATGCCTGTAATCCTAGCACTCTGGGAGGCCGAGGCAGGAGGATTGCTCGAGGTCAGGAGTTCAAAACCAGCCTGAGCAAGAGCGAGACCCAGTCTCTACTATAAATAGAAAGAAATTAATCGACCAACTAAAATACATAGAAAAAATTGGCCGGGCATGGTGGTGCATGCCTGTAGTCCCAGCTACTTGGGAGGCTGAGGCAGGAGGATTGCTTGAGCCCAGGAGTTTGAGGTTGCTGTGAGCTAGGCTGATGCCACGGCACTCACTCTAGCCTGGGAAAGAAAGTGAGACTCTGACTCAAAAAAAAAAAAAATTGTAAAGAAAATGAATTTATTTTTGCAGTTGTAGTGGCTGAGAAGTCCAAAGTTGAGGGGCCACATCTGCTGAGAGCCCTCTTGTTCATGGGGACTCTGTAGAGTCCCGAGGTTTTTGTGGGCATCACACGGTGAGGGGGCTGGTATACTAGTTTAGGTCTCTCTTCCTCTTATAAAGCCACTAGTCCCACTCCTGTGATAACCAGTTAATCCATTAATCCATGCATGGATTAATCCTTATAACCCAGTAACCTCCTCATTGCTCAGTATTGCCACATTGGGGATTAAGTTTCAACATGAGTTTCGGAAAGGACGTTCAAACCATAGCAATGTATATAATAAAATACATAGTATTTCAATATCTAAATGCTCAGGTATGACTGCACAAAAAAAACAAAGACTCCCACAAATTTCCAGAATGTTCCCAAGTCAGTGGGCAGCACGACACCCAGTGACAACCGCAGGGCTAAGCCATGCTGTATATTGCAAAGCTGTCTGTCTTCTTATGTTTTTATTTTAGAGAAGTGCAATAGAGTTCATTTCCATTTGCCGTATCGATGGCAATTCTTGGATGAAGGCAAATGGAAGGATTTGGACAAAATGGAGCTTATTGAAGAGGCATATAGCAATCCCAGGAAAGAGAGGTAGGAAGCATATCACTTGTCTCTGCTTTTTGCCAGGGCTTTTGTGTGCAGAGTAGGATGTTTAAACAGCAGTGTTTAGTTTTGATGACCTTCATGCACACATACATACACACAGCAGCTGAGTCTGGAGGCGCAAGCTCTGGACTGGAAACTGGAAGTTAGTGTTCATACCAGCAGTTTGGTGGCTGTGTTCTCCCACCTTCCTCTTCTTTCAGGGACGAGCTATGAGGAAAAGGAAAAGATGGTTACCAACACCAAGTAAATTTCCAACCATTTGCTGCTGGGATTAATCATGTACATATATACTTATTGTTGTAGAAAAGTGATAGTTGATCATTTGTGATATTTTAGCCTTTGGTCTGTAAAGTCATACAGCTAAACTGCTATTTATTGTTTAACCTTTAACCTATAACTCTTTTCTGAGTGTATCCCAGTGTTTTTACTTAGTCAATTCAGAGTAAATAGAGAAGTTCCAGATAGCCTTATTTTCAAATAGTTGTCATATCTTGGATTGAACTTGCTAAAATATGTTTCCAGGAAGAGAATTTGAGCCTACTTTTTGAGTGTAGAAAATAAATTTTCACTTAGAGTGCAGTTATGTGCAAATTGCTATTGGCAAAGTATGTGAAACAACTTTATTCCCCTTACAAGGATTAAACGATTCACATACCACCCCTAAATTGAGACAAAATTTACACATGGTGAAGCACTCAGATAATAAGTGTACAGTTCAGTGAGTTTTGACAAATACATATACTTGGGTAGCCAACATTCTGATTAAGATAGATCATTTGCATCACCCCAGAAAGTCTCCTCATGTCCCCTGCTAGTGAGTCTCCACCCCTAGAGGTCACTACTGCTCTGACTTCTGTTGCTGTAGATGAGTTTTGCTGGTTCTCAAACTTCATATAAATGGACCATGTGGTCTGTATTGTGTCTGTTGTCTTTCACGCAAATCCCTCACCGCCAAAATGAGCAAACTACAAGTACAGACATTTCCCTGCAGAGGAAGCACAAATGGCCGGTAAACATGGAGTTGAACTTATTTCCATTGTCCATCTTAGTTTTTATTTTCACTGTGTGACCCACTTTATCTATATTTCTTTTCTTTTTTTGATCTTACTTTTTTTCTCCCTTATTTGGTTTTTTCCCCCCTAATCTACTAGTTTGGAAGTTATATACTGAATTTCTATTTTTTTAGTGATTATTCCAGAAATCTAAGCAGGCACTTTATTTTAACAAACGTCAGCTTAACAACTTAAGCTAATCAATGTGCTTTATCATTCTCTCAAACAATAAGAGAATCTTGAACACTTGGATTCAGACTAGTTTCATTCAAACTTCTTTACTGCTTGTATAAATTTGGACAGATTATTTAACTTCACACTGTCTCAGTTTTACTGTATGCTAGGTAGATATAATAGTTCCTACATCATTGGGTTATTTTGGAATTAAATGAGTTAATGTACATAAAACACCCAGAACACTGCAAGCATGTAAGATGTGCTTTATAATGGTGCTGCTATTATTTGTTTTAATCCCAGAAGTTAGAAATTAGTGTTGTTTTATGCAGTCATATTTGTTTAAACTAACACAATTACCATTTTGTTTTTTGCTCACCATTCCTTTGCTCACACTTCTCCTTGTGGGTCATTTTCCTTCTTTAAATTCATTTACTGGAAGTTGCTTTAGTGAGAGTCTGGCAGTAAATTTTTTTTGTTTGAAAGAGTACTTCCTCCTCATTCTTGAAAGATAGTTTTAGGTATTTTCTCTCAACTCTTCTAAGATTATTCCATTGTTTTCTAGATTCTATTACTTCTATTTAGAAGTTAGCTGTCAGTCTAGATGTAGGGATATTAGTTTTTTAGAGCTGCCATAACAAATTACTGAGAACTTGGTGTCTTAAACAACAGATATCTATTGTCTCATAGATCTGGAGGATAGAAGTCCACAGTTAAGGTGTCAGCAGGGTCATGCTCTGTCTGAGGGCTCTAGGGGAGGGTCTTTCCTTGCCTCCTCCTAGCTCTGGTGGTTTTTGGCAATCCTTGCTGTTCCTAGGCTTGTATACGTGTCACTCCAATTTCTGCCCCCATTGTCACATAGTGTTTTCTCCTATGTGTCTCTGTCCAAATTTCCCTCCTCTTAAAAGGACTCCAGTCATTGGATTAGGCCCCACCCTAATCTAGCATGACCTCATCTTAACTTGATTACATCTGCTAAGACCCTATTTCTAAATAAGATCACATTCACAGGTACCGGGGTTAGGACTTCAGCATATCTTTTGGGGGACATAATTCAACCCAGTGCAGTAGGTTTCTATTTTTTCTTTCTGGCTATTTTTAATATCTTGTCATTCTTTGGTATTATACAGTTTCATTAAGATCTGTGTATGGATTTATTTTATTTATTTTACTTATAATTTGTTGTGCTTTCTCAGATCTTTAGCCATGATCTCTTCAAGTATCAATATTACTTCTCTAGAATTCTGATCAGACATATGTTGAGATCTTTTCACTTTATCTTTTATGTCTCCTGACTTCTCTTTCATTCTCTTTCTCTCTGTCTGCTGTATTCAGGGGAATTTCTTCCCCTTAGGCTTCCAGTTCACTAGTTCAGCCTTGTCTGAGATGCAGTGTGTCCCTACTGTGATTTTAAAATTTCAATTGTTATATAATATTTACTTCTAAAAGTTCTATTTTTTTCTTCAAATTTACCTGGTCTTGATCCTTACTGATACTTTTGATACTCAATTCAATTTTAAAAAATACTTCGTACATATTTGCATCTGAGTATGCTAATGCGTGTAGCCTTTGGTGGTCTGATTTTATTTATTTTTGCCAACTTTTGCTCATTATGTATTTGTTTAAACATGTCATTTGTTTGATTTTTGTCATTTGATTTTGAGGTCATATTTGATGAAACTTTATCTGTAGAAATTCTTTTGATACCTAAGTTGAAGGTGAATTCCTCCAGACAGGATTTGCATTTGCTTCTCAGGGAATTGCTACCTTAGGAGGAAGTTTATTTGCACACAGAAAATGTGATCAACCTATAACTTTTGCGAGGCTTGAGTGGTTTACGAGTTCTCGGGAATTTTTTCCTCTTCTATCCAGAGCCAACATTAATGCAGGCAAATTTTCTTTCTGACTGCCACTGCAAGGCAGGTTCCCTCTCAACCGCCTCCTCCCCTTTACTAAGGGTGTGTGATCTTTCAGGGTCCTGGTTTTATGCAGAAGTATCTTTTTTGAGCTTTAACTTCCTACCTTACTCAGACCCTACATTTGTTTCCTGTTTTCCCTTTTCTGCTAAAAACTAGGCTCTTTGTCATTGCTCACTGACACTGCTCTTGGACAGCCACTGGCTTTAGTCCTCATTTATATACCAGTTTTTATACCTTCCTCTTTGATCTTTAGGCAGTACCGTATTTAGTAAGGGACATATCCTGGTGGCTAAGTGTCAGGCTGCGCAGCTAAACTACTTACTTGAAATCCCAGCTCTACTATATACTAACTCTTTGACCTTGGACAGGTTTCTTAACCTTCCTGGGCTTCTGTTTTCCCATCTATGAAGTAGAGATGATAGGTTCATCTTCATAGGGTTGTGAAGACTTAATCTTCTAATACATATACAATACTTAATATAGGGTCTGGCTCACACAATGAACAGTATATGTTAACTATTATTATTTTTGGCTTCTAAGGATTTCTCTTTTTTGTCAGCCCAGCAATTCATTTTAAAAAAGAATATTTCAACCAGCATTTTCTGCTTTTTGCAGTGAGTGGAATTTTCATGATAGTCGTCCATATTACCCTGATTTTATTATTTTTACACAGCAGAACTGATCTTAAACAGCATTTTCCTCCTCCTCTGAAAACATGTTTTAAAATATGCATGTCACATTTAATAGTTATATCTACCAGCCACGTGTTCTCTTGGGTGGAAGCTGAGGGACCTGTGTTTGTTTGGCTGATGGAATTTTTAATCTACTTCTCATTTTCTTTTGCAGTATCCTGTTCACCGAGTTGGCCAGTAGTTTTCACTTTTTTCAATATGAAAAATGTCTGAACTTTGTCTCCATGACGTTTGGTGCTGCCCGGGCTCGCCGCCTCTCCACGGCCTCTTCCGTCACCAAACCCCCACACTTCCTTTTCACCACTGACTGGGTTTGGTACTGGGCCGATGAGTTTGGTTCTTGGCAGGAATATGGAAGACCAGTAAGTGTGATGGGAAGAGGGTAAGTGTTTTGTCCTTACAAAAGGATCCATAGTGGAGGAGCCATTCCACACAGGAGCACAAGGATCGTAAACTGGGGGTGCCCTTGATGGAGCCAAAGATCCCAAGATCCCTGTATGACTCACTTGCTTTGGAGGAATTATGGCAACGCTAGATAACTTGGAGTTCATTTGTTTGATCAGTTAGATATCTGTTGGCTTATGAGAGTTGAATGACAAAAAATTATAGTGAGATCAACTGCTTCATTGGTTTTGTTAAGTGGGGTAGAAAGATGGTTCTCTGACTTATTGACCAGGTAACTCCAGAGCTAGTGCCTGTGTGTTTGTATAGCTATGGCATAACAGTAAAAGCTTTTCAGATTGGCTTTCTGCCATTTCTGCAGCTTTGTGAAAGGTAGGCAAAGATAAGAAAATTGATTTATATTAGATATTGAGTTGGAATCCAGATCAAATATAATAACTGCTTCTGTTAATTATTTGCAGGTATTCATGGATGGGACAAATTAAAGGGAGTCCCTTGGTCACTTGTAGAAGTACAAGTATAGGGAGGGTGCCATTTATATAGCCCCCCCCCTAAAATGCAAACTGAGGTCTGATAGATATTTGTACACTTCTGGGTTGTAAGAGGTTAAATTGGAGCTTTAGTTTCTTGTTCTTACCTGCACTTAGAATTCCCTTGTTCTCTAGCCATCTAATGTACGCTCCGTGATGGCAGGGAGTTTTGTCCCTTTTGCCCCTGATGTATGCCCTTGTGCCTGGAAGAATGATGCATAGTGGGTCCTTGGGAAATAGACATTAGCCAGTGGAAGGAGGAAGGTATTGCTGACCACGTAGGTCAATGGAGATGGTCACTCTCAGTGGTGGCCTCCCCAACTCCTACCCTCATCCTTCACCCTCTCCCTCACCTCCTCACTTCTTCCCAGCACCAGCCTTTCCTCGCCTGCTCCACCCTGCCTGCCTTTTCTTCCTGTCTCCCTCCCCATCCTGGGATTTTGTTTTACCTGCCTTGGGGGCCTCATTTGGACAGCTGCTCTGGGTTTGGTCAGGAGTCTGAGGGAAAGAGGTTATGGCCTGACATGGAGGAGGGGAGAGGATGACTGGCTAATCATACTGCATGAATTGGCTTCCCTGGTGACAAGGTGGAGGGACACATGGCAGCCATGAGGCACATAACAAATGCAGCCGTCGCTTATGTTTTGTTTGGGGGTCTGTCTGGTGTCTGGCTTCTGAGGGAAGCCAGGGGCAAGCCCTGGTTGCCGAGTGGGATGACATGGGGTCCTGGGGCAACCCATGCAGAAGTAAGGTTCCATGATTGGCTTCTCAAACTGCATTGTCAACTCTGGGGGGCAGGCCCTTTCTCCTCCAAACAACCTACTTGGGGCTTCCTCTTTTCTCTTTTGTGCTCTTCCTCCTCTGTTATAGTGCAGAAACATGTTGAGAGCAGTTTGAGGATCTCTGGGGATGAACTATATGTGGATATTATTGATGTGCCCATGTGCTGGGGGAGTATAGTGACTCGTGTGTGGACTCATGACTTTTGGCTGCACGTTCTCATTCTCATTCTGTACCAATAGCTGGGCAGCCTTCTAGGATGATCTGTCCATTCCTCCCATTCCCACACATTTCTGGTGTAGCTGCATATTTGAATGTCTTTCTTAGTTTCCTGTTAATTGCCACTTCAAGACAATTTTCTCTTGATTCATAGAAAAGCTAGGTTTTTTTCTGTCTGAGCTTAGGCTGCACACCAAAATTTCATGTAAAAATCAGATACTTGTTGGTTTTGCCACAGGATGTGTGGTAACATGTGATTCCTTCTTCACCTTACCTGTGCCCCAAGGTGCTAAACTCAGCCCTTCTTCAGCTTAACACATAATGCGTCTGCCATTTTTGGTTTCTTCTTTCAATCCTGTTGGGGGCAAAAAACCCTATGCTTTTGCTTTCTGTTCAGCCACATGCATCTTCCCTCTCCTGTGACAACACGTCTTAAGGAATTTTGACTTTAGGCTACGGACAGGGGCAGGATTCCTGTGTCTGACTGGTATCTTCTCCTCCTCTGTTCCTCTAGACTCTTGGCTTCATTTCTTCAGGCCCAAAGGGAAGGGATTGTTTTCTTTCCTTTCCCCTTGCTGTCTGGAAGGGATTTTTATGCTGCCCCCCCCCCCAAGCTAATGGTTTAGTTTTGAAGGAAGATAGAATTTAGACGGAGAAACTTAGGCATCACTATAAGACCATAAATTAGGAGGCTACTTTGAAAACTGCATACTTATTCCAGCTTCCCCTTGTGGGGCCAATTCATTCTTGTCCCTTGGTCTCAGGCCAAGGCCTGCATGTCTTTTTCCTCCAGGAAACCTTTGCTGGGTTCCACTGTTCCTTGGTCATTCTTAGTAACTCTTCATAGCTTTTATTTTATTTTTTATTTTATTTATTTATTTTTTTTGAGAAAGAGTCTCACTTTGTTGCCCAGGCTAGAGTGAGTGCCATGGCGGCAGCCTAGCTCACAGCAATCTCAAACTCCTGGGCTCAAGGGATCCTGCTGCCTCAGCCTCTCAAGTAGCTGGGACTACAGGCGTGCGCCACCATGCCCAGCTAATTTTTTCTGTATGTATTAGTTGGCCAATTAATTTCTTTCTATTTATAGTAGAGACGGGGTCTCACTCTTGCTCAGGCTGGTTTCGAACTCCTGACCTTGAGCAATCCACCCGCCTCGGCCTCCCAGAGTGTTAGGATTACAGGCGTGAGCCACCGCGCCAGACTTTCTTCAGAGCTTTTAGAGCACTCTGTGAAGACCTGTGTGGGACCTTGAGTGTGATACTCTGAAATGTCTACTTGCTTTTGTCTTCTTCCTTCATTGCTGGACTGAGTTGTTCAGCAGCATGAGCAGATCCTGTTTGACTTACTGCTCTGTCCATAACACCTAGAACTTGTGACCTAAGAGAACTAGGATGGTAGCAGTAGGGAGAGTGGAAAATTTACAGGGACAGAGGGAATTAGTTATGGGTTTCATAACTTTAATTTTGGTTATGAGGCCAATGTCAAGTATAATAAAAATGATAATAGTAACATTTATTGAATGTGTTTTGTTCTAGGCACTGTGCTAAGTGCTCTGCATGCCGTATTTTAATTATTTTTCCAACCCTGTGAGGATGGAATAATGGATGAATATGGCCCAAGTACCGTTATTTTTCCTGTTACACACTTGAGATAAGGCTCATAGAGGTTAAAATAACTTGCCAATGTTACAGAGACAATACGTTTGGGAGCTAGAATTCAAACTCAGTCCAACTCTATCTATTAGATATCCTGTAGGTAACTGTGGAGAGGATGAGAGATTGAAATGGATAATTAAAAAAGTAGAAGAGTTCTCTAGGAGGCCAGAAAAAGTAAACCACAAGGAGGAGGACTGAACTCTGATTAAAGGGTGGTGACAACATGAGTAGACCTCAGAGCAGAGGTAGCATTGCTCAGGCTATTGGCTAAGCAGTGTGGAGAACTCACTGTTGCTGTTCCACTGCCATTTGAATGGCTGCTGTGTCATCCATTCTGAATAACTCAAATGTTCTCCCTGCCTTGCTCCCATCCCTGTTATCCTACTCAGCAGGACTCGTATTTATTGTCTTCTATTTGCTAGGGCAGCTTTCAGGAGAGAGTCATGTTGATTCTGTCCTGTGCCTCCCTCTTCTGCAACACCTGCTCCCTGTCTCTCTCCTCCATGACAGGACTGTCCATAGAGCATGTCTGAAATGGGGTGTGGACACCACTAAAGTCTTTGCTCATCACCATAGGTTCTTGCCTTCATGAAGTATCTGGCTTTCCTCTTGCAGGGCACAACACACCCTGTGACCACCGTCAACAGTAGTGACGTAGAGAAGGCCTACCTGGCATACTGCGCACCAGGGTCTGATGCCCAGGCAGCCACCCTGAAGTTCCAGGCTGGGAAGCACAACTACGAGTTAGACTTCAAAGGTATCCCCTGACCCACTGCCCTCGCCCAGCAGAGCCCAGCCCTGGGTTGGCTCTGCCCTTCCACATTGGCCCTGGAGGAGCTGTAGGCTTGCACTGAGGAAGGGAAGGGGAGGCATGTCCATCTGGAAGGGGAGGCAGACCTGTAAACAGGCGATACTGGCACTGTGGGGTGGAGGAGAAGCTGCAGTGGGGGTGTGAGGAACAAGGAGCCCAGGAGGGTATAGGAGCCCCAAGTGCAGAGGGACCAGCAGAGTCAGCACATGTGCAGTATGATTGTCTCACTGTGAGAACTAACCCCAGGCCTGGACAAGTGTCCGAATGGTTCTCTTGTGCAGTGTCTGCCTTGTCACTCCTGGTGTGGCAGTCTGTTGTCATTTTTCTGTAGGCACCTTTGGCACCAGACAGGTGAAACGTTGGTAGAACATACTGTAATTAAAGACCCTGGGAAGCAGATTTTCATGTACTTGTGGTGTCCTGAAACTGGGGCTAAAGTGATTGATTCTTCATCCCAGTTGCCTTAATAGACAGAAGTAGGCCACATGCCCTGTGGCCAGTTCTTTCGGTGACTGATTTGTGAGAATTTTAAGTTTTAGTTTCGCTGTAGTTTCTCTTAAGCCATTTCCACATGAATATCAGTCCAGCTTTGTTCAGTTTAATTTTGCCTGTATCTCACATTTTAAACTTTGGGTCCTTCTGAATGTTTAGAATGTTTATAAGGGAATAAGTGGGTCTTCCTTCAAACACAGTTTTTGGTTTTCTTTATTCTTGTGGACCTTTATTCTATGTGGATAGCCACAAAGTGTCTCCGGTGGATTATCCTAAAACCACCTTGGCTGCCTGCTTTTGGCCAATTGCTTTTGCTTGTGGTTTTGCGGCACTTGTGGTTTTGCTTAAGGTAGACATGCACACCAGTGCACAGTGAGAGCAAGAGCAGTAATCAAAGAAAGGCGCTAGAGATCAGGGCTGCACAGCTAAAGCTCATCTGACTGCTATTGACAATAGTTTGAAATATTTATTTTAAATATCTGGAAAATATCAAAACAAATACACCAAAACAAATGTCAAATGCCACCTTTATCATTCTCAACGTAGGCCATACCTCCAGGGACATAACAGAATCTCAGAATGAGGATGGGGAAGAACTCACACATGCCATTTGAAAAAGAGTATGTTCACTGCAGGCTGGCCTAAGATCATTTGGGTGGGCACAGTTCTTTTTTGTTTTTTGTTTCTGGTAGATAACATTAGCCACAGAAGAAGTTTGAGATGAGCCAGCTTCTCCCCTTACAACCTGACTACTAGGTACAATGAAAGCAAGCCTCAGACCAAGCTCTGCAACACACATTTATTAACTATTTATTAGGAAGCAATTACACACACACACATACACACACACACACACACACACACAGCAGCCCAGATGACTTGTTCTGTAGGTTCATGGAAGACTCAGCTCCTTTAGGGGCTCAGTCCTTTTAGGGACTCTTGTCACAAAAGATTCACACAAGGCAAATGCCAAGATTCCAGAGACAGAGTTCTGGCATTCTGTTAGCTGGCATCAGATGGGTGGAATCCCCCAAAGTCAGGGTTCATTTAGGGATGTAGTTTCTAGTGTATCCTCTGTAAGAGTCAGTAAGGAAAAGGTCTCCCTTTACTCTGTCCATGGAAGGGTAGAGAATGTATCCGGCACATATTTAGCTGGTCCATATATCTTGAATAACTTTTAATTTCATCAGTGAAAGCTGTTTAAGAGTCATCACAGGTAGTCAATAAGCCAATAAAATCCATTTAAGTATGCTAATGAGCAAAGCCTCAGTGGCCAGGGTGAGTGCTGTGTAACAAAAGGGATCATGGTTGCTTCATCTGGATTGTGGGCTCCAGATGAATATGGGTGGACCCCCCCCCCCCAGGAATGGTGACCACTTGGGCTGCAGCATAAGGGATATACACTCAGGTTATCACACAGTTTATGCTCAAGTACAATAAAGTAAATTCCAGACATCTACAAATTTTAATATTAAAATGTTTTTTAAATGAACTAACATTAGCTGGGCAAGGTGGTGTGTACCTGTAGTCCCAGCAACTCAGGTGGCTGAGGCAGGAGGATCACTTGAGTCGAGGAGTTTGAAGCCGACCTGGGCAACATAGTGAGACCCCATCGCTTAAAAAAAAAAAAAAAGACTTTATAGGATTTTCCTGGTGGGTAAGGCTATGACAAATATGCCGGCCCAGATCCCCAATCTTCAGGATGAATATGAGGTTCTTGAGAATTGGGAAGCAAGAATTTTGTTTATTAAAGATAGTGTGAGTTTAGAAAGGAGGATAAATACCACCATGGAGTCAGTTTAATGAAACTCAAAAAAAGTCATAAGAGTAAAATTATTAACACTTAAATCCCACTAACTCAAGATGTATAATAGTAATTTGGTTTCAGGCTGGGCTGAAGCTTTTTTATATCTAAGCTGGGAAAAATTGCTAAGCAAAATAATAGTTTAAACAAGATTGGAAGGAACAATTTAAAAGCACTCATGTATAATTGATACGTCAATTACTAATCATTCCTCTATTCATTAAACACAGTTTCCTTAGGATACCTATTTTCTTTATAAATATTTGAAATGTGTAAACTGCCTTACTTTTAACAAACCGATTCTGAGCTGTACACATTTGGCTTAGCTTTCAAACCCATTTAATTTGTGTTTATAAAATATTGCCATCGTTTGTGTATATGTACATATGTATGTTTTTTTCATTGGTTATGTTTTTTTCAGCCTTCATTCAGAAAAATCTGGTCTATGGCACAACTAGGAAGGTTTGCCGTAGACCCAAATATGTGTCTCCCCAGGATGTGAAGACCATGCAAACCTGGTAGGTTGTATTTGGGGGACTTGAGAATTAGTGTATGTTATCAGCTAGGGTATGCCTTGCTGCAGGTAATGGAAGACCTGCCACAGCCAGCACTCAAGGGCATTCATTGGCTTGTGCAACTAAGTGCTCCAGCACTGTCTATCACATTCTGATAGTTGGACCAGAGTAAGAGTTATCCTTGTGGGTTTGTAATACATAATTATAAGGCTGCCTGTTCTGATCTGCAAGCAAATCTAGACTTCAAGACAGCTCATCAGTTTGTCTTTTCAGTGGAACAATTGAGTCAAATATCTGAATTTTTTTAAATGTTCAAATAGTGATGGAATTACACGAATGAAAATCCATGCATTTCAGTACTTGAATATCATGAAATACCAAAATTCCAAAAACTGGTATTGCAGTCACTAATGGGCCAGCCTTATCCTCAGGATGTGTTTCCTTATGTTACAAGATGGCTTCCAGGAGCCATTAGGTTAGCCCTTAGCCCTGTAAACATACAGGAGGAAAGAGACCTCCTATAGCTGATGGGGCAAATTCTTGGGTTTTGCATTGATCAGACAGTATCTGAACCTATAGTGTTGTTTCAGGATTGGGCAAATGTGATGGGATTGGAGCCATGGGGTGGGGTCGGTTCTCTAAACCACATGGCCACATAATGGGAGAAGGTGGCCTGTGTGGTGGATAGGGACCACAGTGCCCATTACAGTTTTGGGTTTGCCATAGCCAATGCTGGGACTTTAGCCAGTGTTGCCATTAGCTGGGTATACCTTCCATGACCCTGAGAAGTCTGGCTCATTTCTGTTTTATGTAGAACCAACAGTTCTGTTAAGATTTCAAAGGTGGACTTCAATGGTTGTGTTTGTAAAATACAGAGAGGTTATTTAAAAGAGAGTTTGGGACCGGGCGTGGTGGCTCACGCCTGTAATCCTAGCACTCTGGGAGGCCGAGGCGGGAGGATTGCTCGAGGTCAGGAGTCGAAGCCAACCTGAGCAAGAGTGAGACTCTGTCTCTACTATAAATAGAAAGAAATTAATTGGCCAACTAATATATATAGGAAAAATTAGCAGGGCATGGTGGCGCATGCCTGTAGTCCCAGCTACTCTGGAGGCTGAGGCAGCAGGATTGCTTGAGCCTGGGAGTTTGAGGTTGCTGTGAGCTAGGCTGACATCACGGCACTCACTCTAGCCTGGGCAACAAAGTGAGACTCTGTCTCAAAAAAACAAAAGAAAAAGAGAGAGTTTGGTATAAGCTAGAGGAAAAGTATTATCAGTATAAGAAACAGTGCCTTGTGAGTCAAGTCTAGCAAAGTAACTTCCTGGGAATATGTCTTACTTTTTCCTTTTTTAATTAAAATTTATTTTTGACTATGTGTAAAACATTTACATAATTAAAAGTCAGAACTGTATAAAAAGGCATTCTCATTCTCTCTTTTTCCCTGTTATCATTACCTTATTCCCACTGTGGGTAACCATTTGCATTATTTTTGGGTTTTTCTTTGCAAAAATAAGCAAATGAATATACATATATACACATAAAGATATTTCCTTCCCTTCTGTTTTTGCACAAAAGGTAACATGTTAATATAATGTGTACTTTTTTTTTTTTTTTGCTTAAAAACAAGTCATGATAATCACTCTGTTTCAATTCATTGACGTCTTCCTCAGTCTGTTTCTGCTTTCATGGTTCTCTGTCATGTGTATGTCGTATAGTTTATTTAATCTATCCCCTTTTGATAGATGTTTATGTTTTTAGTCTTTTGTTATTACAAGATGTAATACCACAATGAACCATTTGGTGTATGTGCTGTTTCAAATTTTGGAGGTAGATCATCAGGTCAGAGTCCTAGGAGGTAAGCCAACTTCCTTTTCATGGGCTTGAATCATCACGTACTCCCACCTGGATGGCGTGAGATGCCCGTTTCCCTTTGCATTGCCGACAGAGTGAGTTACTCAGCTCTTGGGCTTTTGCCGTTCTCAGAGGTGGGAAAAAGTTCATCGATGTACTTTAGTTTGCTTTCTCTTGTGAGTAAGGCTGAATATTTTTTCTAACATGTAAGGACTATTTCCCTTTCTCTGTGGACTCTTTTTTTTTTTTTGTCTACATTTCTATCAACTTTAGTATTTTTCTTAAATATCAAGAAGAGCCTTTTATCTATTAGAGAGATTAGCCCTTGGTATGTTACATAAATTGCAAATATCTCCTATTGGTTTGTTATTTGCCACTATCTTCTGGTTTCCATTGTTGTTTTTGAGAAATCAGCTATTGGTCTAACTGGCACTTCTTTGACGATGATCAATCTGTTTTCTTCTGGCTATTTTGAAGAGCTTCTCTTTATCTTGGAGTTATATACTCTTACTATGGTGTGTGTAGGTATGTGTTTTTATTTATTCTGCTTGAGATTCTTTGGGCTTCCTAAAAGTGTGGGTTGTATGTCTTATCAGTTCTCTTAGAAAATTGCCTCTGCTCTGTTCTCTCTCCTCTCCTCCTGGAGTTTCACTTAGGTTCTGGTCAGATTCTGGTGAGCCCTACTCACTCTGCACTCCACGTCTCAACTTCCTTCCCATAGTTTCCATCTCCTTATTGGTTTGGGCCACATTCTGGATAATTTCATTTCACATATCTTTCATCCCATTAATTCTCTGTTCAGGTGGTCTCATCTACTATTAAGCTTTTCTATTGAACTTTTACTGTCAAGGATTGTACTTTTCGTTTCTAGATATTCTGTTTGGTTCTTTTTCAGATCTTCCAGGTCTTTTTATAGTTTCCTGTTCTTTGCATGTGTTTAAAAACTGTGTTTAAACATGTGTTTAAAAAGTTTGTCTTATAAAAGACAACATGTTAAAAGATGTTAAAAGAAATAATTCTTTAAACATTGGAAGAATAATTGTTGTTTTTTAATCTGATAATTTCAGCATCTTACGTCTTATTGGATCTGTTTCTGGCTGATTCTTGCTGGTGGGACCTTGCTTAGTTATTTTTAAACTGTGGGAAAGTTATCTGTGGGAGTTCTTTGAGGCTTAGGATGAAGGTACATGTCTCATGCCAGCAGAAACAGAAGGTAGATCTATTTAGGAAGAACAGTGCATTCTGAAACTTACTAGAAATGATTTGGAATTATAGTTTCACAGTTCTTGTTCCTAAACCCTTTGAGCCATATGTCTTTTAGAATTCCTTCTATTTATTTTTATTTTTAGAAAGGTAATGTGGTGCCTGCATTACATGACACACTGTATTTTAGCACATTCATATCTCTGCGGTAAAGAATATGTATAGACACTTGAAGAAGGGTAAATTTGACCATAAGTAGCCTCTTACCAATTCAAGTAAAATTTCTACTGCCAAATGAATTTTGATATCAATTTTAAATTTTTAAAAAATGTTTTTATGTCAGTTATACCTTATTGAGGCTTTTTAAAAAATATCTTTAGAGCTCTTAGGATTTCAAAATCGTGGATAAAGATTTGTTGGCCCTGTGTGTGTTGCTTTAATCATGTGCTCTATCCCTTCTTTGTAGTAGTTGGGACACAGGTGAGAAATTAATCTCTCATGAGTAATTATTTGAAGTTTGGCCATGTTGGCAAAGCTAGTGCTCTCACATGGTGAATATTGTGTTTATATGCTTCCTTACCTTCTGCTGGCTTATAAAATATGATATGCTGAGACTCAAGACTGGTGATATTGGCTGCGTATGGTGGATTTGCTATATCTATGAATAAAACGTCTTTGTGTTTTTGTTCACATTTTGTAGCAATGTCAAGTTTCAAGGCCCAAAGAGCATCCCAGACTATTGGGACCCCTCAGCCCTGCCAGACCCTGGCTTTAAGGTAGGGGACTCATGTTGCCTGGGGCTAGAAGGAAAAGGTGTTCTGTAGAGGTGGATGTTTGAGCAGATCGCGCTGTTTACACTGAAGAAGCTGTAAGGCTGGGGTTTGGGGAGCAGGAGGGCAGTGGTAGATGTGGGTTTTTGTGGTTGTTTTAGGTCTTGGGGGTTTTAAATTAAGGTAACCACCCAGGAGATGGCGGCGGCTCTGCAGGAGAAGATGTCTTGTGGAAGGAAGGAAGATGAGCTGTGAAATTGGCTAGAAATGGCAGAAATAAGGAGCTTATAAGCTGGGCTTAGCAGATAAATATCAGTTTTATTAAGCAAGAAAAGAAAGAGAAACCAGGGGAGGGAGCTCTAGTCTGACACCGCCCATCTGTGTAGGACACCTGGACTGACGTCTGACAGCTGGCCTCCTGCCAAGCAGTATGCAGACAGACTTTTACAACATGACAATGTCTGTGCTGGGAGGACTTATCTCATTGAGCTTGTTCAAAGCACAGACACTAAGAGTGCAGGCAGGATGTGCTAAGGGCTAGAGAAATTCAGACACATTTGTTGACACTAACTGCATGATCCTGTAGTCTAACTTGTGTCTTTGGCCTTTCTGGGACACAAAAGTAGAGCAAGGACATCCTGAGGACACCCAAGACACCTGGTTTAAGCATCATGTGTCTGTCTTTAGCACTGATTTTACAGCAATCAAGAGGAAAGTGACTACAGTTTGCAAATGTAGTGAGTCCACGCTTAACATCGTCATCAGTTTCTTGGAAACTGACTTTAAGCAAAAGGAAATACTGTATAAAGAAACAAATTTTACCATATGCTAATTGATGTAAACAAGAGTTAAGTTCCTGTAGCATGCAGTAGGTTGTTTTGCTTAAAGTTGAAGTTTCCGAGAACCTCTTGATGATGTTAAGTGAGGACTTACTGTCTCTTGTGCCTCGAGAGACCACATATCAGAGGAGAGGGAAATATGGTCATCACTTTCTGGGTTTTTGTCCTTCTGCAGTTCTAGAATTTACAAACAGCCTTGAGAAGGGATTGATCTGTATTCTGCACTTTGACAATAACATATTAAAAACATTTTCCCCTTACAGAAGATCACCCTCAGTTCTTCTTCAGAAGAGTATCGGAAGGTCTGGAACCTCTTTAACCGCACGCTGCCTTTCTACTTTGTTCAGAAGATTGAGCGAGTCCAGAACCTGGCCCTCTGGGAGGTCTACCAGTGGTGCGTGGGGGCTCACTGTTGCTGTGCTGGTGGCTCTGTCCCCTTATGCCGCTAGCTGCTTAACCAAGAAGAGTCAGAGCAGCAGCCATTCTTACCCAGGGCTGCTTGCTGAGTACCAGGCACTGTGTGTCTTTGCTCCTTCACCTGCTTATCCTCAGGGCTGTGGGGCACACATCCAGTGTAGAGATGAGGGCACTGAGGCTGTCCAGAGGTTAGCTCCTGTTCCTATTCATGACTTGTGGCAGAACCAGCACTCTCCTTGCCCATTCTGCCTCTATGAACACTGACCGGATGGGGCAGCACAGCCCACCTACACTCTCAGCCTGGGAACATAGGCCATTGGCTGGAGAGCATGGGCCTCTGTTTTGTGCATGAGGACTGGTGGGTCCTGGGGGCATCTAGGCACTTATCTGTGTGGGGAGAGACCCACAGCAGGTCAACATGGCAGGTTGAGTCTTGCTTACCTGTCCCCATGTGGGGTGGGTATGGTGTCATCTGCACTGTATGCACAGTGATGAAGTTAGGACAGCGGAAAAGTGGAGGAGGATGGCCCCACAGACCAGCGGCCTTGCCATGCTTCACTGTCTTCCCAGGCTCTGCTCCTTGCAGGAGCAAGGTGGGGGAATGAGTTGTGCCTGCTTTCCTGCTTTCCGATAGCTGCTCTGCTTTTGGAATCCATGGAGCTCCTGGAGGCCCAGAGCTGTGGAGGCGGGGTTTTTACCTGTGTACCATGCTCCACCTTTTGCCCATTCTCTGGCCCATGGCTAGAGCCTTATGAGCCTGGCCCAGGCAGCCCATGACCCACATCCCCTGGTCTCAGCACCTTCTGTAACTTTGGCAAAACGTGTTTTCTTAAGTCGGGTCTGCTGTATTTGGTGCCTGGTGCCCTCTACCCCCAACACCTGTTCTGCGATTTTAGGCAAAAAGGGCAGATGCAGAAGCAAAATGGAGGGAAGGTGGTGGACGAGAGGCAGCTGTTCCATGGCACCAGTGCCAGCTTCGTGGATGCCATCTGCCAGCAGAACTTCGACTGGCGGGTCTGTGGCCTTCATGGCACTTCCTATGGCAAGGGTAAGGCGAGGCTAGGCCTCCACCGGCAGAATCCCATGTTGTCTCACCCTGGGAAACCATTTAAAGCAGACTGGTAGAGGACATGGGAGCCTACTGAACTGCTGAGCAGGGTCAGACTTGGTGAGCGGCGGTGCTGGGCCCTCTGGGGATTCTTGTCCGCTACACCCTCGCCCTGGCTGCTCCATGTGTGTGGCCAGGAGCTTGGCTCTAGGTCTGGGCAGGGTGGCCCTGCCTGGGCTGGGGTGTTGCTTCCCTGTGGAGCAGAGGCACTGGAAAATGGTAATGGAGCTGGGAGAGGAGGCAGGATGCCTTCTCTGCCATGATTAGGTCCCTGGGTTGTATCTTCACTATATCTGTAGAATAGAAACCAGGAAACCTCCGAGACACTCACATACACGTGTATTCTAGCTGTCATGAGTATCTCAGTGTTTTCTTCTTGGTTACCTTTAAACTTTATTTGGAAATAATTTCAAACTCACAGGAAAGTTGCAAGAATATTATAAAAAAAACTGTTATATGAATTTTATCTAGATTTATCCATTTTAATATTTTGCTACTCATTCTCTTTTTTCTCTGAACCATTTGTAAGTAGGTAGCATATATTGTCTCACTTCACCCTTTAACATGGCTTAAGAAAAAGGATGTCATCTTCTTCTATAACCACAGTATGGTTACCAAGTTTAGAAAGTGTGTTAGCCTGAGGTCCTGGTTTCAGCTCCATCACTTCCACATCAGTTTCAGGCTGATGCAGTGAGAGCCTGGGGTCAAGTGGGCAACAGCTGGGGTAGCTTTGTGAGCTTGAATGTGTGGGTGGCAGCTTCCCACTTAGGTTCCCATTGACGAGACTCATGATTCTATATGTTGGGCTGCCAGTATCTACGGGATGGTTCCACGTGTGGTGTCTCATTCACTTTCCTTGCCAACTCTCGGAGGTTGAGTGGAACGCCCCGTTTTTATGGTTGAGGAAACTGAGGTTCAGGGGGTTCAGTAGCAGTGTACCGGGAGCCTTTAGGTTTTGTGTGATGGATTTGGAACTTGAAAGTTTTCTCTGGTGACTCCTTTGTGAGGAAGGGTGGAGAAGGGAGGCAGAGGGAGATGGGAGCTATGATGAAGTAAGAGCAGAGGTCACCGGTGTGTGTGTGTGTGTGTGTATGTATGTGTGTGTGTGTGTTGCCCAGACATCCACTGCTTCTCTACTGCGGCCCCACCCCCCTCTACACACCATGCGGCAGATGCCCAGCTGAGCCTGTGTGTGTCATTTCAGGGAGCTACTTCGCCCGCGATGCTGCGTACTCCCACCACTACAGCAAATCTGACACACAGTCCCACATGATGTTCTTGGCACGGGTACTGGTAGGCGAATTTGTCAGGGGCAACGCTTCCTTTGTCCGCCCCCCTGCCAAGGAAGGCCAGAGCAACGTCTTCTACGACAGCTGCGTGAACAGCGTGTCCGACCCCTCCATCTTTGTGGTCTTTGAGAAGCACCAGGTCTACCCAGAGTACCTTATCCACTACACCACCTCTGCCAAGCCTTCGGTTGGGCCCTCTGTCCTGCTCGCCTTGGGCTCCTTGTTTGGCAGCCGCCAGTGAGGGGTGCACCAGGGTGATCTGCGGCCTTCCATGCTGATCCTCCCTGAAATAGCTGTTTGGGATTGGGTTTTTTTTTTTTTTTTTTTTTCTTTTACAAAAAAACTTTTAATGAACTGTTTGTTTAATGTTGACTTCTCAATGAAGTTACATTCTTAATCTCTGATAATGGTTTTCACTTTTAAGTCACTTTTGGGCTCGCTGGTGGACTAACCAGTAGTGATTGTTAGGTGAGTCCATTTTTGCTTTTTAATAATGTGTTAAAGTTTTATTATTTACTCTCTTTGTTGACTTTGCTGCTTATTGGCACCAAGCACAGAGTTTCTAGACACAATTTTATGGATTCGTTTTAATTTTTAAGAGTTTATCTCTGCAAGGACTCAATTTTTCAGGGTCTCATGGCATCTGTTTTAGTTTTTGTCAGGATGACATAGTAGCCATTGGGGGAGGACAGCCCAGGTGGGCTTAGGGCAGCACAGTTACTTCTTTCTGTTGCTCTGGCACAATCCGGGCAGCTCTTTGGCTGCTCCTCCTGGTTGGCCTTTCTCATATCGTCGAAACAGGTGGCTACTGTGTGTTGCCATTGAGTCCCTGCTGGTTCCCCTGGTCCTGGTGGGGGTCACCCATCACTCAGAGGATGCTCGTCTACCCTGACAGGTGACGTGGATGAGTAGCTCCCCTTGAGGACCCCCAGGCTTAGCCCGTGAGTGCCCATAGCCGCATAGCCTAAACTTTAGGACCTAAACACACTGGACAACCCTCCTAGTGTGGGTTTTAACATCCCCATGAGATTGAATACCTGTGCCGCAAATGTCACAAAGAGTATGGAAATAAAAGAATATTTATCTCAAGTGAATGAAGACTGAAGCTCATTCTTTAGCATCTGTTTTATTGAGTAGCTGCTGGGTACCAGGCATTTCCGAGTATCAAGGATTGACTTAGTTTGGGCTGCTGTAACAAAAGACCATAGACTGGGTGGCTTATAAACACCAGGTGTTTATTTCTTAAAGTTCTGGAGGCTGGGAAGTCCAAGATCCTGCTTCCTCATAGATACAGTGTCTTCGCATTTAATAACCTCACATGGAGGAAGGGGTGAAGGGGTCTCTCTCAGGCCTCTTTTTTAAGGGCACTAATCCCATCCATGAGGGCTCTGCCCTTGTTATCCAGCCACTTTTCAAAGGTGCTATCTTTAAATGCCATCACTTAGAGGTAAGGGTTTCAACGTATGAATTTTGGGGGGCATAAACATTCAGACCATAGCAGGGGTATAACAGAGCTGATGCCACTGGCCTAGGTAGGGCTTTGTGTGGATTTATCACTAAGCTGATGAAGTTGAAGGTTCAGGGCCCCTTACTTGCTGGGGCCCCTACCAAGGCCATAGGAGGGGCTCTAACAGTATGGTCACATGGTTATACATTTTGATAAAATTTGCAGAAGTTACATATTTGTATTTTTCTTTTTCCCAACTCAAGAAGTTTCAGGTCCCACAGAACCCAGGTTCACCATTGAGAAAAGTGTGTTGTGCCCATGGAGAGTACGGTGTATGTAGTGTGTGCCCCTAAACGTAGCAGTTTATGAGTGCCTCCCTCCTGGGCACTGGCTGGTGCTGGTCCAGCTGGCAGAGGCCTGGCAGGGTGACTCTGCATCACCAGGATGTCTGCCTGTGAGGTCCAGTTGTCCACGGTGTGCTGCCCTACCCACCAGTGCCTGCTTGCCTCTCCCCGCACCTTCCTGGGGGGCTGTGTCTGCTGGTGACTTGCTGCCTCCACTTTAGTTTGTCCTGTAGTTCTCAGATCCAAGGCTGCTAACTAGTTTTTCCATCTCTGATTGCACAGGCAAGTGCGATCAGGCCAGAAGGTACTGGGTTAAATAACCAGGAAAATGAAGAAGCAACAGCACAATCTTACCCATCAGCAGAGCCAGCCTCATAGTTGCATGTGGTATGATTTTCAGAACCCCCTCAAATTTCCCCCACAGCCTAACTAATCCTAATCCTACCATTTCATTCATTGCTTTTTCTTTCTTTTTTTTTTTTTTTTAGGGACAGGGTCTTGCTCTGTTGCCCAGGCTGGAGTACAGAGGACTCAAACAGTCCTCCTGCCTCAGCCTCCCCAGTAGCTGGGACTGCAGGCACACACCACCATGTCCACCTAATTTTTGTATTTTTTGTGGCAGTGGGGTCTCCTTATGTTGCCCAGGTTGGTCTCAAACTCTTGGCCTCAAGCCATCCTCCTACCTTGGCCTCCCAAAGTGCTGGGATTACATGCCTGAGCCACCCTGCTTGGCCTCATTCATTGCTTTTGATTAAGCCATTGGTCTTGCTGCAGCATAGTTGTGGGGGCTAGGGAGTGTCAGAGAGAAGCATTAGATCAGATATGTGCCTATTAAAGGCTTAACTGTAGGTTAACTGACCCTGTGCTTTTAACCATCTGGCTGTTGGGAGCTGAGGAGTCAGGGAATGTAGGAAGAGTTCATTTGGGGGGCATGGATGGGAAGAGTGACCAGAAAACCAGGTGGGAGGTGATCAAATGCCCCAGAAGAGTCCACTGAACTATGAAGACTGCAGAGGCCATTGGATTCAGTGACCACTGAGCAAACAGGAAGAGCAGCTACTTGGATGGGCGGTGCTAGAGAGGGATGGGATCCATGTGGCCAGGTTGCCTGGTGGGGTGGGGTGGGAGCTGTTCCTGTGGGCTCAGGAGAGGGAGGGAGGGCATTGTGAGGGGAAGGAGTCAAAGTAACTATAACTCTCAAGATGTTTGGTGCAAAGAGGTGGAGGGTCCAGGACAGGTGTGTGTAGGCAATTGACTAGAAGTATTTGTGAGGACCCAGTTGGGATCCAGGCATTGCAGTTCCCCACCATTTCCCACCCTGTGATGGCTGGTGTTAGGTGTGAACGGTGGGATTTACACAGAGGTGGGGATTGCTGGGTTCAGACAGGCAAAAAGCTGGGGGTCCAGTGACTGCAGCTCATTAGGAAGTCTCTGCCATAAGTCTGAAGGTGGTGAGCACCTGGGCGGAGAAGGTGAGAAGAGCTGGGACTGTGCTCCCAGCAGGGACCTGAGTGCTCAGGTGGGCCCATCTGCAGACTGTGGCTCTGTGGTGGCCACAGGGAGGTCAGGATTGGGGACAGGTGGGGCAGTCAGGGAGGCAGATAGGTCCCCAGGAACAAAGGGTTTTCTGCAGGGAGTAAGCCACAGGGCCAGGCATCGCAGAAGGGCCAAGTTATGGAGAAGAGCAGGTGTGGAGAGGGTGTGGAGAGGGCTGGGTGATGGGCCTGGACCAAGGATGGGTGGTCAGGACATAGTAGCTCCCAGCCTGGCACAGTGTGGGGAGTGAGGCTGCCCTCCTCCCTCTGGGAGAGAGAGAGGAGGGGGTCCTGCAGGGGCAGCTGTGGGGGAAGCGGTGGGTGCTCTGGGCTGAAGGGGATGGGGAAGGGCCAGACAGGGAAGGCAGCAGCCACAGCAGTGACTAGAAATCCGTTCTGCCAACTCTCCCAAAACAGCCAACATTTTCTGAAGGTGGGATGTCAGCATGTGGTGTTGCATAAAGGGCTCACACATTCCTACTGAGATTTTCTCTATGTAACATTCAGCCCCTTAGAGTTGCTCAGATGTGGAATGGAGGAGGAAGGGGTCTTTGATCTAGGTCAGCCCCCCTGTTTCATGGAGGGGAAAGCAAGGCACGTGGAGGTGAGAAGCCCAGCAGCCTCAGCTACACGGCTGCTGGTGGCAGGTCCAGATTCAGTTTGCAAGTGCTTTGTTGAATGAACTTCTGAGCCTTGCAACAATTCCTTTTACTCAAATTCATCTCTCCTTGATCAAAATTAAGAAAAGATACAGTGTTCTTTAAGAGAAAAAGTACATTTCACCCTATATAATTTCAGCTATTGAAACTTACCATAAACTTGGTACTACCCTACCTTGGAAAATCAAATATAATAAAGCTTTGGAACCACTTCTGAGTTTGAACTTCAGATGAATGTCATTCTCTAAGACTCAACAATGCATAAGAAACTGAAAAAGCCACGGACTGGTGCCATCAGGACAGGCTTATTGAGTGTCCTCATGTGCCCTGCATTGTAGATTCCTTCCATCCTGAGGCCAGGACTTCCCTTAAAACTCAGTGTTCCTAGTCGTTTTGTCAAAACTACATTTTTACTTATTTACCAGCAATCCTTTATTTAGAGAGTTAGTGGTTCAGCCCCTACTGGCAATGTCAAAAGTAAGTGCAACAAACGTTTATTAAGCATTTAGGAAATGTAACATACATAACTTCTTTTATACTTGCATGTACTCTTTAATCACTTCAGTGATTTTTTCCCCCCAAATCTGAATTTCCACATCAGGCGTTCTCTTTGACTTACAAGTTGTGTCATAGCCACAAGATGTTCCCCCTCCCCTGGGGGCCTTCTGAGTCAGCGGGACACAATCTTGATATAGACTCCGTTTTTTGGACCTAGGGCAGATTTGGATTCTAACTGCAGTGGTACCTAAAATAGAGGAAATTAAAATATTTGTCAAAGTTAACCGTATCTATAAGAAAACTGCGTCGGAACCCAGCCTGAAGCAGGTTTGTGGAAATTTAGCTGTGGACTGAGGGATGGCTGGGCTGGCATTGAGCAAGGAACCCCCCCAATTGGACCACAGTTCCTAGAAAAGCCGATGAAGCTGCCCTCCCGGTCCCCACCCCCCAGCACACTGAATAACATTGGCACCCTCTTTCCCATGTTAATGAAATGTGCGGGCAAAGAGTATGTTTGGGCCTGCATTTATCCACCCCAGGAGCCTTAGTAAGAGGTGGTAGTGTCTCACCCTGCAGGTGAGGAACGGAAGTTCAAGAAGGCCAGTAAGTTGGCCAAGGCCACAGCTGGCAGGGAGAGCAAAGCCCCCAAGCCTGACGTTCAGTGATTCTAACCTTCCCTGCTGGTCCCTCCTCATCCCACTCGCCAGTGCCAGGCCAGTAACTGAGCAGTCCCCTCTTTCCCAGGGCCTTTGGGGAGAGGGGATTGGAGCAGTTTTCTGCTCATGCACGTTGTGGTCTGGTCTCACTGACATCCTGAAAGCTTTTCTCTGCCCAACATAAAAGGCAGAGTCAACAGCAGACGGGGAGCTTCGAAGAAAAGCCAAAGAATTCCTCAAGTAGCTGATTTCCCCTGGAGCTGTGTGTAAAATGATTTCACAGCTAATGAAATCATCCCCTGACAGGGACAGGCTGTGGTCATAGGGACTTGAGAGTGTCTGCACTTGGGTGGGGGATGTGAGGCTGTGGCAGCTGGGAGCACCCCATCCCCCCTCCAAGCAGAGAGGGCCTTAGGGGGTGAGGAGGAGCCAGAGGGAGTGTCCCTGGTTTCTGTGGGACAACCCATGCACCCCCAAACCCTTCAAAGGCAGGCACCCTTCACTACGGTGAACACTGTTGTCTGAGTGCTCTTCCCAGAAGGAAGAGCTGCGGTAACGTGAGGCTCAGCTCCGCACACGGAGAGCAATAGTAAAGATGAGCTGACACGTGGCGTGTCCCCTGCCTGGCACTTACCTGAGCACTTGTGCGAGCTCGTTTAATCCTCATGTGACATTAAGAGGTGGAAGGTGTTACTATTATCATTCTCCTTTTATGGATCAAGAAACTGAGGCCAAGTGAGGTTAAAGAGCTCACCCAAACTCACCGCGGAGCCCAATGCCACCCCAAACTGGCCAGCTGCAGTGCAAGAAGCTGGGGTGACCAGCCCACCCGGGGTGTCAGGCCTTACCTGAGTCTCAGCGCAGGCCTGGAACCGGAACTTGCACAGGACGTGGAGCAGCGTCAGTTTGACCTTCAGCAGCCCGAGCCGCACCCCGAGGCAGCTCCGGGGGCCCG